TAATATTATGTACATGAACAGAGACATGTTCATGCTCATTGCAGCACTATTCACAATAACAGAGATGGAAACAACCAACACGCTTTATCAAGGGGTGGATGCATAAAGAAACTAAAGTACATTCACACAATGGAGTATTATGTAACATTAAAAACAAGAAAGAATTCTTGACACACTGCATTACATGTTATAAAAATAACATAAGGGGTTTTTTGTTAAGTGAAATAAGTCTCAAAAATTATAGTACATTCACACGATGGAATACTAGACAGGATGCAGGAGCAAGGATTTTGCAAATCACTGCCTAACTAGAGAGGAACTGGAGAATATTATGCTAAATGAACTAACTCAGTACCATAAGGACAAATACTACACAAGACGATTATTGTAGACTGTGAATGAGGATCCAAGGGGGGAGAACAGAGAGGTAAGGATGGGTGAGGGTGGGGTTAATCTCAGGATCACACAATTTGATGGTTGGAGACACAGGTAGGTAAAGGAAAGGGTAAAACATGTGAATAACAATGTATACGAACTTTGTAAGTAAACCAGTACAAAATAAAAATTTTATTTAAAAAAAGAAAGGACAAATATTATATAAAACTACTATTTACAAAAACCCAAAACCCTAGAGAAAAGTTTACACATGGAATCAGTCTGGTAGGTTTACCAGGGATTGAACAGGAGGGAAAAGGAAGTAATATTAACAAATAGATATAAATACTTGTTAAGATAGGTGAAGGAAAGGCAATATAGAATAAGTGGATGATTAGATATTATGGCTATTATAATTAATGTCATAAAACACAAAACATATGAGTAGTTGATAGAAAACCTGTATAATTTGTAAACTTTCACTAAAAAAAAACAAACAAAAAAAACCAACCAAAAAAAAACACCCCAGTGAAAAAATACATCAACCTACTTCCAAAAGGAATAGATTCATTAAAAAAAATAAAAATTCTGGTTCTTCCCAATTTATTCCCATTACAAATTAATTCTAAAAATTTCAAATAGCTGTTGCATGAATACCAAATTTCCTGTTGTACATAGTATCAATTATCTCAGTCACTGTGTCAATCATCTCGTCCAGGATCTTCCTGTCCTGTGCTGTCCTTCCTACCATCTTTCCAATCATGATACCCTTCTCCCAAGGACTGATCCCTCCTGGCAACATGTCCAAAGTATGAGATGAAGCCTCAAAATCCTACCTACAAGGAGCAGCTTGATTTCACCCTACTCTCTCCATTTCAACTTGAATTCACTAAAAATCAATACAAAGCAAGTAAATAATTCACTGCTACCTGGGGCAAAGATTATAGTACCTATAAACTCCTTGGTATTTCTATGTGCCATTGAGTTGACTAAAACTCATAGAGACACTATGGACAACTAATTTGAGCAATCTTTCCTTATCTTGTGTAATCTCACCATCTCTGATATACTTGAGCTTATGCACATCCATTTTGTTGATGATCTTCCTTTCTTGCGCTGCCCTCCACTTTTCCAAGCATAATGCCCTTCTCCTCCTAACAACAGGCCCAAAGTATTTGAGAGGAAGTTTCATTATCCTTGCCTCCAGGCAACACCCTGGTTTTACTTTCTCTAAGACAGTCTGCTCTTTTGGCAGTCCATGGGATATTTGGTACTTGTCTCTAATACTACAACTCAAAGATGTCAGTTCTTCTCCTGTCATCCTTAATCATTTTCCAATTTCAGATACATATAAATTAATCAAAATGACCATGGTTTATCTTGGTATTAGGCACATCTTCAAACTGGGATCATTGCTCTTTTGCAGACAGTTGATTTTCCCAATGTGACTCATCCTTCGATTTCTTGACTATTGGCACCAAAAGTGTTGATATGGCCGCAAGTGAGATTAAGTAGTTGAGAATTTTAATCTCTTCTCCATCTATAGTAATGTTGCTTATTAGCCAGTGGTGTAGATTTTTGTTTTCTTAATGTTCCAGATCCATCTTGAAATACAATGTTGTGATTGACAGGATAATATCCATATGCATACAAGAAAGTCCTGTGAATACCACCATCATTCAAATATATTCACCAACAATCAGAACCAAAGAGGAGGAAATAGAAGATTTCTGCCAACTTTTGCAGTCAGAGATCGATTGAATCAAGATGCATTAATAATAATGGGTGAATGCAAAAGTTAGGAATAGAGAAGTAGAAGCAACAGGTGGAAAATAAGGAGTTAGTGACAGAAATGAAGCAGGCAGTATAATGACTGAATTTTGCACAATCAACGACTTATTCATTTGCAAATACATTTTATAAGAAACATAAATGCAGGCTATACACATGGATTTCACCTGATGGTATGCATAGGAATAAGATCAATTACATCTGTGGAAAGAATTGTTGGAGAAGCACAATATCAGCTGTGAAAACTAGGCCAGGTGCTGATTGTGGAACAGACCATCAACTACTCATACGCAAGTTCAA